TTACAGTTTATTTTGTAGATGATGTTGGTTTTGTCTTCTTTCGCTGTTGAGTCTTTTGGTTGACATAGAATTGAGTGCAGCGACTTTGTTGGTTTGTGTACGACGTCAATTCCTAAAGGTTTGAAGAGTCTTTTAGTGATTTCTGAGATATCCTTTATATATGGTAAGGCGATTTTCTTTGTGTTTTCCTTGGTGGCTTTTGTTTTGGTAGGTTGGCTTGGGGGTATATGTCTCTTGATGAAATTCCGGGATATCCATTCTTTTGGAAGACGTCCATGAGATACTTTTCTTCAATTTTTCTTAAGGTGGGAGTGCTGCAGTGAGTCCTTGCTCTCTTGAATAGTGTTTGTATGCAGTTCCTTTTGTGTGCTATTGGGTTGTTGCTGTTGTAATTCAGTATTTGGTCTGTGTGAGTTGATTTCCTATAAACTTGAGTTTCTAATTCTCCTGTAGTTGTTCGCCTGACTAAGACGTCCAAAAATGGTATTTTGTTCTCGGATTCCTCTTCTCTTGTGAATTTGATGTCGTTGAAGACGTTGTTTATTAAGTTGTGAGTTTTGTCTAATTCGTTTCTTTTGATTATTACAAATGTGTCGTCGACGTAGCGTATCCAAATCTTGGGTTTGATCTTTGGTAGAATTATGTTTTCGAGTCTTTGCATCACTGCTTCTGCAATCAAACCTGATATTGGCGATCCCATGGGTGTTCCTTTGACTTGTTCATATATTTGGCCGTTGAATTGGAAGTATGTTGTTAGGCATAGATTTATGCATTCCATCCAGCTTGTGTGTTGCATTTTTGATTGTTGTGGAAGTTGTTCGTCGTTGCTAAGTAATTGCTCCATGGTTTCTTTTGCTAGTTTTTGTCCGATAGAGGTATATAATGCTGTCACGTCGAAGGATACCATTATTTCTTGTTCATCTATTTGGATGTCTCTGATTTTCTCTAGGAATTGGATAGCAGAGTTGATGGAGTGATCACAGGATTCCGTTAGGTGTTTTAGTTTTCTGTATAATTCCTTGGACAAATTATATGTTGGAGTTCCTGGGAGTGATACAATTGGTCGTAACGGGATATTTGCCTTGTGTATTTTGGGTCTGCCGTAGAATCGAGGTAGGACTGGTCCATTGGATTTCATTCGCCATTGGTCTTGTTTTGTGATCTGTCCAGTTTTGCTGAGCTTGTTTAAGGTCCTTTGGATGCGGTTGTCCAAGAAAGCTGAAGAACTACTCAAAGATGAAGATGTATATCAACAACTCCCAACAAATCCCATACAAACATTGGACAACCGCATCCAAAGGACCTTAAACAAGCTCAGCAAAACTGGACAGATCACAAAACAAGACCAATGGCGAATGAAATCCAATGGACCAGTCCTACCTCGATTCTACGGCAGACCCAAAATACACAAGGCAAATATCCCGTTACGACCAATTGTATCACTCCCAGGAACTCCAACATATAATTTGTCCAAGGAATTATACAGAAAACTAAAACACCTAACGGAATCCTGTGATCACTCCATCAACTCTGCTATCCAATTCCTAGAGAAAATCAGAGACATCCAAATAGATGAACAAGAAATAATGGTATCCTTCGACGTGACAGCATTATATACCTCTATCGGACAAAAACTAGCAAAAGAAACCATGGAGCAATTACTTAGCAACGACGAACAACTTCCACAACAATCAAAAATGCAACACACAAGCTGGATGGAATGCATAAATCTATGCCTAACAACATACTTCCAATTCAACGGCCAAATATATGAACAAGTCAAAGGAACACCCATGGGATCGCCAATATCAGGTTTGATTGCAGAAGCAGTGATGCAAAGACTCGAAAACATAATTCTACCAAAGATCAAACCCAAGATTTGGATACGCTACGTCGACGACACATTTGTAATAATCAAAAGAAACGAATTAGACAAAACTCACAACTTAATAAACAACGTCTTCAACGACATCAAATTCACAAGAGAAGAGGAATCCGAGAACAAAATACCATTTTTGGACGTCTTAGTCAGGCGAACAACTACAGGAGAATTAGAAACTCAAGTTTATAGGAAATCAACTCACACAGACCAAATACTGAATTACAACAGCAACAACCCAATAGCACACAAAAGGAACTGCATACAAACACTATTCAAGAGAGCAAGGACTCACTGCAGCACTCCCACCTTAAGAAAAATTGAAGAAAAGTATCTCATGGACGTCTTCCAAAAGAATGGATATCCCCGGAATTTCATCAAGAGACATATACCCCCAAGCCAACCTACCAAAACAAAAGCCACCAAGGAAAACACAAAGAAAATCGCCTTACCATATATAAAGGATATCTCAGAAATCACTAAAAGACTCTTCAAACCTTTAGGAATTGACGTCGTACACAAACCAACAAAGTCGCTGCACTCAATTCTATGTCAACCAAAAGACTCAACAGCAAAAGAAGACAAAACCAACATCATCTACAAAATAAACTGTAACAACTGTGAAAAACACTACATTGGCCAAAGTGGACGTCCCCTTCGTCTTCGTATCCACGAACATAAGCTAGCCGTCAAAAGACATGATATACACTCCCTCATTTCACTACACACAGACAACCACGGACATCAATTCGACTGGGACAACGTTCAAATATTAGACAAAGGAAATAACAAGAATGCTAGAGAATTTTTAGAAGCTTGGCATTCCAGTGAATCATCAATCAATAGACACATCGAGATAGACAAAATTTATCAACCAATAAGAAAGAAACTTCACACACGATTGGCCAAAGTTCAAGTCACAGAAACAATCAGTTCCAACACAAGTAACCTAGAAGGTGTGAAAACATACATAAACAACCAATCACGTCCAAGGTCACCAGGAGGAATGATTAATAAACTCGTGGAGAAACCTAAAAGCTCACTTCAATTTGAAGTATGCGCTGAAGATGTCACCCAGTAAGGTGATGAAAGCTTCGCAAACTAACTATCCAGCTCAGAGAACAAAACCACATCAAAATTATCCACCTGAGCTACAAATCTTCTCGTACTTCGAATATTTTTGATTTTATATCGTAAATGTGGACAAATTCCTCTGATTAATTTCGTTTTAATTTTATTTATTTTATGAATAATTCCCATTCGAACATTAGTAGACAAAAGACAAGTAGTTCAGCGAGGAGTCTCTTTTCGGCGAATTCATTTTTTTCATAGTTGTACAATCGCAAATATACATGGTTATTTTGTGTGTGTGTGTGTGTATACATTAAATTTGTCAAACGAAAATACAATTAGTAAGTTCAGATGAATTGGATGTTCATATAAGAGGGTAGTGACAAAAGTGATGAGTTGTCATTCGATCTCAACAAACGCTTCCTTCAAAGTAATCTACAAAGTGAAGAACAACCTTCCAAAGACAGTACGATTCCGTCTTCTTTGCATCGCAGAAGCCCTAGCCATTAATTTGGTGGAACCAGAACTATGCATACATAAGAAAATTATCCAACCACTTCTACTCGCATGGTAACAACTCCGTTGATTTGACCTAACTTTTGTTTGATTTGACCTTACTTCTGTTTGTATGCTTATTTTTCTAACTTAAAACCCTTGTGTAATTCTGTATATTATTTTGTTTCCATGTACACCCTTTGAGCACAACTCATTCATCAAACTATTCATGCCATTACGTCACTCTTATTTAACAATCATTTATGACAACTCATCACTTTTGTTACTATCCTCTTATATGAACATCCAATTCATCTGAACTTACTAATTGTATTTTCGTTTGGCAAATTTAATGTATACACACACACACACACACAAAATAACCATATATATTTGCGATTGTACAGTTATGAAAATGAATTCGCCGAGAAGAGACTCTTCGCTGAACTACTTGTCTTTTGTATACTAATTTTATTTATGTTTTAAGTAAATCGGATGCAAAATGTTGTGACAAATGCTGAGAATTCCATTCTGTATTATAAGTGGTGCTGTTTTTGGAATAAAGTAGATTATTATTAGTATTATTGTCACTTTTTAAATATTTCAACTGGCCACCATTTTTCATATAAATTGACTTGACAAATAAATATATGGGGGATCAGACGTGTTTTTCGAAATGTGTAGATAGTGTAAACGCATCACACTGCATTCTTTCAGATAATCTCCGTATTCTAATAAATAACACTGATCAAATTTATAAAAGTGTGTGCGTCGGGGTGGCACAGCGGTAGAATGCTCGCCGACCACGCTCATATGGTCCATGGGTTCGATCCCCGGATACAGACGCGCTCGTTCTTTACTTCGCTAAGCCAGTAGTAAGACTGATAAAGAGGGAAGGTTGGGATAGGCGTAAGGCTAGCAACCCCCTTCACGACTCTAGCTTGAAGCCCCCCCCCAATGGTCCACTGGGGGGGGAAGTAAACGAACAGGAAAAATCTATAAAAAGAAGTGACTTTTTGAAATATTAAGGAATACGCGGAATTGAATTGGCGGGTCCCATTGGCTTAGTGGTCTACGAGCTAGTTCGCCACCTTGTCACCATAAGGGCTCCTGGGTTCAAACCCCAGTGAGGTGGGCGAGTGCGTACTGCTCTCTCTCTCTCTGATGAAGAATCCCGAACTAGGCTGACGAAACAGCTGTCTGCCAATAATCCCCGTGGCTGGTTTCCGAATGGTTCTCTAACTGATGTCAGCGCTCAAGATGAACTCCTTTCCAATCAATCAACCAAAAAACAAAAAACGCGTTGTCAATTTTTATAAAAATAATTCTATTTTGCTTTTGCAGCTATTTGTCCGCGATAGAAATGCATAGAAATACAGAATGTGTACAAAAATAGTAATAATAATCTATGGTAAGCAAGATAAAAAATTTCGGGGCAAAATTCAAGAGATAGGAGTAATAGTTACCTACAAAAATCGATAATAATTACATCATCATCATGATTATTTTTGTTCACTTTGTAGACATAAATAAATAAAGCGAGAAAAAATTCAAGTTATCGAAAGAAATTGTCCAGTTTCGATTGTTTCGAATCTGTTAATGACGTCGTCTTCGTTGAATGCCTTCTGCCAACTTTACGGCGTTTTTCAACAACCTATATGAGGAAGAAAATTTAGAGAAAGAAGTGTGATACAACACACATGTACACGTTAAATAAAAAAAATGAATTATCAGAGAAAATAAAGGCGGTTAAATTAGGAGATTTCTATAATTATATTTAAACAAAATGACTAACTTTCAGACTTCATATTAGTTTGTTTATTTATTAGAAACAGTGAAGCAGTATTATTTATTGATTGACAAAATTTCGACCACAATTCACTTATTCTTCACAATCACATCAATCATAATCAAACGACTTCGAAACTTCCGTTTCATAGTTTTCTTTGTTCTCTCCTATTTATCGTCACATAGGGGTAGTAGAGTTTCCCAGATGTCCAGTTGGACAGCCGTTGAATCATTCCTATTACACGTATTCACACTCTCATTTGATTCGATAAACAAAGCTTCTGTTATGAATCCCTCCCTCCCTCCACCCTGTTACATGAGATTTTAAAACTGTCATCCTATACCATCCTATTGTGTGGTTGTGTGTGACTGCATGTAGTGTGTGCTATAGTTGAACTATTCTCTAGATTTCTTATCTTATTTGGGTCAACTAATCTAGATTTTATAATAATAATAATAATAATAATAATAATAATAGCTTTATTCCAAAAACAGTACTAATGATTCAGCAAGGAATTTTCAGCATTCAGGACAATATTGCATCTAATTTACTCAAAAACGACAAAAAAAATTATAAACACACATTACATAATAATAATAATAAAACGATTGTTACAGCAGCTACGTAGCAAAATACTATATGCAATACGGTGAAAAATATGCATAAAGTATAAAATTGTAGTAATAATAGTAATACCAACTAAAATAAAATAGCAGAGTAATAATTAAACGACAGAAAGTGTGACACCATAAAATACAGAAAGATGAACGATGAAAGAGTTGATTCAATGTGCTAATAACATAGTAACTTGTATGTTTCACGTCTAACAGAGTCTTCGTCACATAAAGTACGGGCTAGATAGGGGTATTGTAGAATTTCTGTACTAGATTTTGCCAGGAGTTTGTACTCAGCTGGTCTGACTGACCCCATACTACTACTTTGACCTGACAATGATTGCAGGCAGGGTATTAGATAAACTAAATTGTTTTGTTTTAAAGCTTCCAAAGGATTGATCTTTTGACCGACAAAGCTTGTTTCTAATCATGGAAGTACAACTGGAGACTAAAAATTCCTTATTGTTGATGTTGTCATTATCTTGCTCATGTTTGAAATGCACGTTGTCATTAATATTATTATAATTATTATCACTATCACTACTATCATTATTTATTTTACTTTTATATTTCCCTACATAGTTTCTGATTAATTTATCAGAGTAATTATGAAGTTTCAAAGCTTCTCCTATATGCCTTACTTTTTGGCTGGGATTTTCCTTGGTACTACTTAGTTTTTGTGCTCTGTCACCTAAACATTTCACCAATCCTATTTTCACTGACATAGGATGGGATGATTGGCAGTTTGAATGTGTGGGTATCCTGACGACATGCATGTCAAACATGCAGAGGATAATGACGACACCAACAATAAGGAATCGGAATCGTCAGTAGTAATTCCATACAAGGAAGGAACCTCGGAAACCTTAAGCAAAATTCTTAACAATGCTGGCAGGAATAAAAGTGGCCAGCATTCAAACCCACAAACTCAATTAGAAACAAGCTTTGTCGGTTAAAGAATCCTGTGGAGCCTGTAAAACAAAACAATTTAGTTTATCTAATACCCTGCCTGCAATGATTGTCAGGTCAAATACATAGATCAAACTAGTAGAACAGGGCAGTCAATCAGATTAGCGAAGCACAAAAGCCTAGCAAAATCTAGATTAGTTCACCTAAACAAGATAAGAAATCTAGACAATAGTTCAGCTATAGCACTGACTTCATGCAGTTACACGCAACCATACCATAGGATGAATGGGATAAGATGACAGTTTTAAAATCTAATGTACCAGGGTGACTTCCGATAAAGGAATTACAACCTCCTTTCTATTAAAGAATGACTGTCTACCGAGGTAACGTAAGATTAGTCTGTATGTCTGATTTCGGCATAGAACTCCGCACCAATGTGCAGCAGTTCAAGTTGTTACACGTAAGATTAGGCAAATACTTCACAATACAATTTTTATCCAACAATGATCCAACATTAATTTAGTTAAGAAAAGATACACACACCTGCATTGATCAGGGGGGGGGTTGGGACTCTCGTCGACCATGCGCACATGGTCCGGGGTTCAATCCCCTGTCGACGTGTAGGCCTGATATTAAATAATTGGCCTGCGAAATTCGGGCTACCGATACCACATGCCGAAAATGCTATACTTGTACTGAAAATACAGTGTGGAATCAAAAAAGTCCGTTCTATACATGGACGTACCTCTCCATTGGATGTCTTTGAATAATTTTCAAAATGAGCGAATATCTAGAGACAGAAAAAAAAACGAACGTAAGGGGAGATCAAACTCTGAAAATAAGGCACCAATCAATGGAAATAAATTTGAACTACATATACAGAGAGATGAGTAGACAATATGAGGTGAAGTCGGTCAATTGAGACACTAAGAAGTAATAATTGAAGACTATTAGTGACACAGGACTGGACTACATTAACCCACTGCTAGCTTAGAAATAGGGAGTGAAGTGGTAGAGCACGTTGACCGCTTCACCTATTTGGGAAGGTGCATCAGCCAGCAGGTTGATCTCTGATGAAATCTCAGCAGGGATACAGAAAGCTCGTTTCGCATGTGCAAGTGCACACCGTCTCTGGCATAGACATGATTTCCGGCTGGCTGTCAACCAAAGGGCGTGTGTGTGTACTGCTCATCGGTCCGCTCCGTCCTCCTTTATGGCTGTGACACCTAGCCATTGAGAGTGGAAGACATGAAAAGCCTGGTCAGCTGTCTTTGATCATAGGTATCTGCGTTCTATCTCATGTGTGTTAAGTGGTATAATAGGGTTAGCAATCGGTCGAGTGCAAGGTGTGAGGAAGGGAAATCAATCGACGAGATTGTGAAGTTACATCAACTGAGATGATTAGGACAGGTGTTACGTATGCTTTTTCTATCCTCCACTCTCAATGACCAGGTCACACAACCTGTTGAAAGTGCCTATGGTGACGCAACATGTCCCAGACGTATACAGATGCACTGACTAATCCATGCCTCCCTCTACCTATCTTTATAAATATCCGTGATAAGGTAATCTATGTTGACAGCTCATCACAAAACTATATGAATGACATTCACAGAGTAGGTTGAAATAGTGGAAGCCAGTGTGTCATAACGAAATCACTGAATGAAATATGATTTACACGAGGTTCAAAAATACGCCGTAGGACCTAAGAAATACTCCCACTGGAATGATACAATAGTAATGATCGGATATACAAAGTCGCTACACATGCTCAGCTTTTGAAGGTCAGGTTCAACATAACTAGTTTGTATACTATGGGAGGCTTTAATCTGTACGACTTTTGTCTGATTGGTTGGAAGATGTCATCAAGTGCTGACTCTTCAGCAATACGCACTCATGTCACTGGGGTTCAAACCCAGGACATTCTAGTTACAAGGCGAGCTAGCTCGTAGAATATTAAGCCACTGGGACCTAATTCATAACATAGCGCGACCAATTAGCAATGTCTTCTTCCATGAGTACCTGTCCTCATCTTCATCACAAACGAGGACAACGGAAAGAGCTGTCTGGCAGTACTCTCTGCAGGGTTTTCCAATAATTCTCTAACCAACTGTCAGTGGCTCATGATGAATTCCTCCAACCAATTAAATAATTCCTAAAGATTCAGCAGTCAAAATGGATTAACAAAATTTACCTTTTTAGTTGCAGTAGAAATAGCAGAAGTCTGTAAATCTTCTAGGCTAACCCATCGTCCAAAATTCAGAAGAGGCGGCCACACAACCTCTTCGATGATATCGGATAGAGGCTTTTCGTCAAGTTTTAAAGTGAACACGATATATTTCATGTGTATATGAGAGAAGATATGTACAACCTATGAGAAGTTATCAACATAAATAAATATAAAAAGGAAAGTAATCAAAGTAAAAATAATTTGAGTTAGACCATTTAAGGTTACTTTTGCGGATAAGCAGATATATGGAACTGAAGGATGAAATGAAAACCTAAATAGTAGTGTGGTGAGAGCTGTCTGCTAGCCAAAATTGATAGACAGTAATTTACGTCAATGTTTGTGTCCCCAATATTGGTCGTGCAAAAAATATGAACAAAGACTGATTCAACAACCAGTCACAGTAGAATTTGCGTAGGCGGATACAATTTGCAGATAGATAATCTAACCTTCAAACAAACGGTCACAAAGAGACGAAACAACGTTCAGCGAAAACTACCAATCAGAAGACCGTGTTTGTTTGCTTACAATAATCTACATTAAAATATATAAATATCTGTTGATTTCCTAAATAAACGATCTGTTACCTGGTCTTTGTCTTCTGTTGTTACAGTAGTAACCGAGCGTAAAAATAGGCTGCCTCTGAAGTCCTGGTACAGTGAGTTATGATATCAACCCCAATTAACCAGATTATCAGGTCGTTATAATAACAATGCCATAGACTGGCTTGATGGAGTTCGAGTTCTTTCTAGAACTCAAGGTAACTATCTAAATATAGCCAGTATCAGATTAATTATCAAGCGTGGTTTTAGAGCGGTTTGACTTGCTTCAATTTCGGTCACGAGATGTGACATAAGTTGGGGAACAATCGGAAAACCACAACGGAGTACTACTAGACAACTGTTGCCTCCTAGTTTGCAACTCTCCAGGAGTACGTACCTACTGGGTTTCGAACTCAGGAGCTTTCGGTTACAAGGCGAACCCAATTCGAAGACCATTTAACCACTGGGACTCAATCCAATGACAAGCCCATGAATTCCAACTTCTGCGACTGGTACTAGCCAATTTCGCCAGTGAAGAGTATTTCTCCTCACGCTCAACCACCTGCTGTACCTCATTAGTCATGACTTCCCACTAGAATCCAGGTAACTACCAGTCTGAATAGGGTCACTCGCTAGCGAGCATCAAAGTGATATTCAGGTGTTGGTTCTCTAACCGATGTCAGAGTTCAGGATGAAATCCTGTAACCAATCAAATCCCTTCAAAACAACACTTACACGTCTTCTCTTGAATACTGACCGGGACAATATTTGATTGTACTGTACATAAGTGATTCATGTAAAGAGTTTAGTCTTAGGAACAGTTGAATATACTAAAAAAAGGGTGCTTACTGACTTCAATTATTTTTTGTCTCCTTAGATTTCCTGTACCGATTGGGTCGCCAGCCCTATGATCGACCTTCTCTATTTCTCTAAACTTGAAGTGGCAAAACTCACATTTAATCTTCCCTCTCTGCCGGTTAAGCGAGGTATAAGCAGTGCATAGGCCAGGGATGCAACCCCAGATCGTTCGTGTGTTTGGTAAGCTTTCTACTGATAGGCCATCGATGCATATGCGTGCACTTTATACCTATGTAATATTTGTGCTGGTGAAAGCACTTATATCACATTCCAGAATAAACACCACCGTCGATTTGTTAGTCAGATGCGTACATACGTACATACCAAAGGGCGGGTGTACTGCTCATCAGTCCCCTCCGTCCTCCTTTATGGTTGTGAGACCTGGCCACTGAGAGTGGAAAACATGAAAAGACTAGCTGTCTTTGATCATAGGTGCCTGCGCTCTATTTCCCGTGTGAAGTGGCATAATAAGGTGAGCAATATTGAGGTTAGGCGTCGAGTTCTAGGTAAACAGGGGAAATCAATCGACGAAGTCGTGAAGTTACATCGACTGAGATGGTTAGGACATGTGTTACGTATGCCAAGCCATCGCCTCCCTCGACGAGCTATGTTAGCGGATATAGGGTCAGACTGGAAAATAGCTAGCGGCGGTCAAACAAAAACTTGGCACCAGTCAATGAAATCCACAACAGTTGGTCTAAGCCACGTAGAAAGGTGTAGACTTCCAGGCTGGGGTCTTCGAGACAGTAAAAATCTATGGTTGGAAACAATTGGTGACATGGCTCAAAATCGTTCTCAGCGGCTGGCCAGTGCAAATGCATCCATTCCTTGTGACTTATGATCTTCAATTAAACTGTTTTGTATTTCTTTATTACTCCTTTGTCTCACACCTCTGCTCATTGTTTCTATTATGCTTTTCTTGTACTTTCTTCTCTTGCTTCGCGTGCTACACGGAGTGTGGCGACTTGAACTTCCGCACATTTGTGCAAAGTTCTATGTCGAAAACTGACAGACAGACAGACAGACAGACATACGGTTCAAATCCAACGCTGGCATTCAGTCTTTACGAAGTGAAAATGTCTAGCAACTGTTATTTTACAGGATGTCATCATGATCTGTTATTGGTTGGAAAATCACCAGGGAGTATACTGTACAGCTATTTCACCCTAGTTTGCGACTAGTCACAGTACGCACCTACCGACAGGCTTCGAACCCAAGACCTTCCGGTTACAAGGCCTAAGGTGCTCACCACCACCCTCTCCACCCAACCAAAAGATGCATCTTCAGTTCAAACCTTACTCAACCTACCAAGGACGGGGGACAACTAAGTAAGCAGTGCCACCGACCCTTACACAATAGGTGTTAGTCATTCCTAACAAGGAAAGAAAGCGAAGATAGATGTCGGTGCCGCATTTTGCTAACTGTCCGCTATGTATCAATAGGCTCGTATTCGCAACAGGACGAGAAAGATGAAAAGACAACATAAAAGTGAAGAATTACCTCTCCAATCGATTTTACACTTAAATCATTGTACGGCAGCCGACTATTAGATGAATCAGATTCCAATGCCTTTTTAATTTGTTCAACAGCTAATGGTATAAATGATTGAATCTCATCATCTATTGAACATTGATTTTTCACTTTTAAAATATCATTATTCTCACTGTTCAATGTTTCAATGGTATAACTTGGAAATTCCCATAAACCAGCTAATAGGCCTAAATAAAGAAAGAAACAAAGAAATCAATAAAATAAAATCAATATCAGGAATGATAATAGAGTGGGGGAGGGGTTGAGTAGATTGAAATACACTTGAATTAAAAGATGTGAGTAATGAGCAGAAAGCTTTGTGTCTTTATGGAAATGTGTTGGTTGTTATTGCCATCAGGCTGCTCACACCATGAGAGATGATTTCCTCTTGAAGTACTGTCTGTCTGGATTCAACATAGAACTTCGCACCGAAGTGCACCAGTTCGAGTTGCCACGTTCCAAATAGCACACAAAGGTAGACAAGAAGATGAGTGAAGAGAATCAATAGAGTTTGACACATATAAGAGCGAAACAGAATAATTTATGGTAAAAAAGAATATGAGAGATTACAGAGACTGAATACATCTGCGCTGGCCATTGAGAAAGATTTTGAGCCATATCACCTATCGTCTCCAGCCATTGATTCCTTGAGTCCCGAGGGCCCCAACCCGGAAGTCTGCATCTCCTTACCTGACTCAGTTTAACTGTCAAGGATTTCATGGATTGATGCCATGTTTTTGTTTGACCACCACCTACTCTTTTCCAACCTGCACCTATATCAGCTAGCAATGCCCGTCGGGGGAGGCAATGGTTAGGCATGCACAGCACGTGACCTAGCCATCTTAGTCTATGTAACTTTATAGCCTCGTCGATTGATTTTCCGTCTTTGCCCAACATTCTACACCTAACGTCAACATTACTTACCTTGTGAAACCACCTAACGTGAGACAGAGATCGCAGACATCTATGATCGAAAGCAGTCAACCTTTTCATGTCTTCAACTCGTATTGGCCATGTTTCAAAGCCATAGAGAAGGACGGAGCAAACTGCTGAGCAGTACACTCTCGGAGTACATGAAACAGAAGAAAAAGCGTTAGGGTTACCTGACCACAGATGTCAATCACACACAGGTTGTTTGAAGTGACTTTTAAAGGTATACCACCTGAAACCAGTTTGGAAATTTTCCGCTGTCACTCAGCCAGCATAAGGATTAAGATTCGCATTTTCAACACCAATGTTAAGTCGGTTCTTCTATACGCTTTCCACACGGATACGAGAACATATGTCAGTTCTATTCTAGAACAGCTGATCGACTTCTGTCACTCTGCCAACCCTAACCATGATTCTAAGATCATCTAACGAATCCATGTTAACTTGCAGGACGCGTTTTCTTCGCTATAGACTTCTAAAGACAGTGGAGGCCTTGGCAATTCATGACTTTAAGCCAGACCTTAATGTACCAAAGAAGTATGTGTACAATCCCTACTTCTGCATTGGTCATAGAGGGATAGACATTTATTTATTTAGTTTATCTAAGTACCTTTCCCACATTACTACGATTATTATTATTATTACTATTCTCACTCTGAATTGTTTCCACTTGTACCAATTGTCTTGCTAAACACAAAAACTTTTTTCTTTACAATATTATTGCATTCTATCTTATCAATTTTCACACCATGTTATGTAACATTTTATACTCGTCTATTGATCCCGTAATTGTGCACCCCCTCCAAACAACATCTATACACCTTATGCATTATTCTATATACAACATTAACTGTTTTAAAACTTGACATTTACCTATGTTTAAAATAACAGACATTTCAATTGCATTTCATTTTCAGGAATTTCTTTGTATGCATTCGACTTGACTTCAGGTTTGATCACGGGTTGATATCAGTTACAGAGCCACTGAAACCCAGAGAGTACTGGACAGTTATTTCATTCTAGTTTGCGAATGATCACCAGTACGCACCCACCAAAAGGGATTCGAACCTGGGACCGTCCAATTACAAGGCAAGCAAGCTCGCAGACCGTTTAGCACCTGGGACCCAACTTAATGGCCACTCCATAAATTCTTGATCTCTGACGAAATCTCAGCACGGATACAGAGGGCTAGTTTTGCATATGCCAGTTTACGCCGTCTCTGGCGTAAACGAGATATCCGACTGGCCATCGACCAAAGGGCGGATGTACTGCTCGTCAGTCCGCTCCGTCCGTCTTTATGGCTGTGAGACCTGGCCACTGAAAGTGGGAGACATGAAAAGATAGCTTTCTTTGATCATAGGTGCCTGCGCTCTATCTCCCGTGTGAAGTGGCATAATAAGGTGAGCAATATTCAGGTTAGGCATCGGTCGAGTTCTAGGTAGGTGGGAAGGGAAATCAATCGATGAGGCTGTGAAGTAACATCGACTGAGATGGTTAGGACATGTGTTACGTATGCATAGTCATCGCCTTCCTCGACAATGGGTAATGTTAGCTGACATAGGGTCAGTTTGGAAAAGAGCTAGCACGAGGTGGTCAAACCAAATCATGGCACCAGAAATGAAATCTACAGCAGTTAGTCTACGTCACATAGGAAGGTGGAGACTTCCAGGTTGAGTTCCTCGGGACGGTAAAAAACCAATGGTTGGAAACAATTGGTGACATGGCTCAAAATCGTTCTCAATGGTTGGCGCAGATGCATTCACTCCTTGTGACTTATGATTTCAAATGAAACTGTTTTGTTCTTCGTTATTACTGTTCCTTTGTCTCACACCTCTGCCTATTGTCTCTATTATGCATTTCTTCTACTTTCTTCTCTTGCTTTGTGTGCTACAAGAAGGGAGTGTGGCGACTTGAACTGCCGCATATCGGTGCAAAGTTCTATGTCGAAAACAGGCAGACCATAATTTCTAACTTCTACCAATTCATGATTTCGCGCAACTGGCGCCAGACAGTGTAATCTGTGGTGAGTATTTGTTTTCACTCTCGACCGATTGCCCTGCACTGTTACGAATTCTCACTAGGAGGACTCCAGGCAACTCCACCCTGTAGCCCACGAATCACTAGCGAGCATCTTACTAATTTTCATGAGTTCTCCTTGGTGACTTCCAATGGTTCTTTGTGTCTGTCTGTCTGTTTTCAGTATAGAACTTTACACCGATGCGCAGTAGTTCGAGGAGCCGCACTTCACTCAGCAGACGCAGCCAGAAAAGAAAGTAAAAAGAAACTCAAAAGAGAGAGACAGTCAAGACAGATATGAGACAAAAAAATAGTAATATGGATAACAGCATAGTTTTATTGGAAATTATAAGATACAAGGAGTGGATGTATCTGTGCCAGCTATCGAGAATGATTTTGAGCCATATCACCATATGTCGCCATTGATCAGTGGTGTTTATCGTCCCGAGGACCCCCAGAAAGCCAGTCAGCCAGTCTACACATTCCTATGTCACTGGCTGGCTTAAACTAACTATTGTAGATTTTATTGACTGATGAGGCCATGTTTTGCTTTGACAACCACTGGCTAGGTCTTTTCCAGACTGGCCCTATGTCAGTTAACATTGCCTGTTGTCGAGGAAGGAGACGACTATGCATGTATGCGTAACACATCTCCTAACCATCACCTCAATCGATGTAACTTCACAGCCTCGTCTATTTATTTCCCCTCCTTACCTACCTAGCAATTGATCGATGCCTAACCTCAATAATACTCAACCTATTGAGATTCTGTAACTGATATCCATGCGTGATGAAGCTTGAAGCCATTATTATTATTATTATTATTTATTATGTATTCACACCTTTGTTTAAATTTCCTCATGGAATTTACTTTCTTAATACAAAAAGCCGTATACGATTGAACGACTTGATAGTAAATTCGTCGTTGAAAAGTCTCTTCACTGAATATTATGTTCTTAATGTTACCATGGAAATTGTTAAATTATTGAAAAGAAAATGCAAAAAAATAATACACATAGATGTTTGAGTATTCTTTCTCCGCCCCTCCATTCTTACCTGTTTTAGGTCTTTGAAGAAGCAGGTAAACATCTTTATTTACTCCATTTTCTAATATCGTTGTATGTGTCACTATGACAATGGTGTTTTGTTTACGAGGTTCCCGCTTATTCAATTTAACTGGATAATTCATTACACCAAGACTAGGCAATGGAAAGAAAATAGAAAACAAACAGCAATCGACAGCTGGATAATACTAAGATTAATAATAATAATATTATTAATAATAATAATGATTACAGTATTGGTCACGAGCTGACATCAGTTACAGAATCATCGGGGAAACCTGGGGAGTACTGGACAGTTGCTCAAAAATCCAAGTCACTAAAAAATGATCACTACAGATGTAAATCGACCACCAGTCACGAAGATGGTTAACCAGGAGCTGCAATTCTATCATCGTTCATAGACGGAGAATTTAAATCAGTTCATTTTATGCTAAAACCTGCACTGAAGGAGGATGTTTTTCAGGAGGACGACGAAAGCTTCGTAATTAAACCAACCAGTTCCTCAGAGAGCACAACTAATTGCAGGCTACTTATGTTGCACACCACTTTCCCTACTGACAACCTTTAATACTCTTCTGAAAATGACATAGTCCTTATGGAGTAGCCCAGGAAAGCCTAAGTGAAAGGAGCAATAAAGGTACAATAGGTGGGATACACAAGTTAACAAATTATAAAAGCAGAGGTTGAGTGATTCCAGATAGTTTTAGCTTCTTAATGTAGTAGCTTAGACGGAAGATTTTCTTGGAGATCGACAACATATGGGATGACCAAGTAAAGTCAGAGTGTCACGAGAGATGACAAGGGCTAGGCAACAGATCCTTGTTTGAGAAAATCAACAGATATATATATATATATTACGTACATCACTATAAGCGTTATAGTTTGCAGAGAAGTAATGTCTTCTGGTTGGTTGTTTTCTTGCTGGGGGTTACTCGGTACTACTCGTGACCGTTTCTCAGAAAGTTAAGCCATATATCTGCGAATCGTATTTGCACACGTTAAGTCTGTTGTGATCGGTTGGTGATTTTCTTTATTATTGTCTTTTCTCATAACCCCCGATTCGGGACGTGGACATTGACGTAAACTTTTGTCTACAATTTTGGTTCACAGACACCTCTCACTACAAAAGGATTGAGCTATCCCAAGATATTTCCTGTTAGACTTAGTCTCTGTCACAGTCCCCACGATGCCATTATCGACAGTGAGTGAGAGAGAGAGGCAGAGAGAAAGGATGACAACCAAGAAGAAGCAAGGAGGGAAACGCCAAGAAACGCCAAACTATAATACCTTTTTTGATAAACACCCGAATCAATACACAGATGACAATTTTCCACATCAATTTCTTTTGATAACTTTTTATTTTTCAAAGTCTGTAAAGGAATAAAAAAGAAAAGGCAAAAACAGGAAAATTCACTTTTAAAGGCAGCAAACAGTACTCTGTTGATAGTTTCTATTATCATCGAAAATTCAATTGTATTCTCAATCTACACACAGTTCAAAGGAGGTGAAATCGCACCGCCATTTTCTCTGGAAGCCTAAATTGTTCAGATCAAAATATTTCATCAGCTAGCTAACTAGTTAGCCAGCCAACCAGATACAGGTGATCTACGCACCACCAGACGGCTATTTCGTTTCGTTTGGGGCCTATGTCGTCAGTGGTCGACCCGGATTGATTCAGTTCAGAGGGATGAATCATCACTTCAAACCACTTCAAATACAGTCTTTTGAACACCTTGAGCAGCAATCTTCGTATGTTCTGCAGCATGTGATTCGCCCCTGTAAAATGTAAGATACTGCTACAGGACTGGACTACGTCAACTCCTAGCTTAGTGATAGGGAGTGAAGTGATAGAACATGTTGACCACTTCACCTATTTGGGAAGTTGTATCAGCACCAACGGATTGATTGGCAACGAAATCTCAGCACGCATCCAAAAAGCTCGAGCTGCTTTCGCTGACTTACACCATCTCTGACGTAGGCGTGACATTCGGCTATCAACCAAGGGACGTGTGTACTGCTCAGTAGTTCGCTACGTCCTTCTCTATGGCTTTGAAACATGGCCAATACGAGTTGAAGACATGAAAAGGTTGACTGCTTTCGATCATAGATGTCTGCGATCTCTTTCTCACGTTAGTTGGTATAATAAGGTAAGTAATATTGACGTTAGGCGTAGAGTGTTGGGCAAAGAGGGAAAGTCAATCAACGAGGCTATAAAGTTACATAGATTGAGATGACTAGGTTACGTGCTGTGCATGCCTAACCATCGCCTCCCCCGACGTGCATTACTAGCTGACATATGATTTCCATTGAAACTGTTTTGTTCTTCGTTACTACTATTCCTTTGTCTCACACGTCTGTTTACTGTCTCTATTATGCATTTCTTCTACTTTCTTCTCTGGCTTTTTGTGGTACAAGGAGAATGTGCAGCGACTTGAACTGCCGCACATATGTGCAAAGCTCTATGTCGAAAACAGACAGACAGAAACTAGTTGATATAGGTGCAGGTTGGAAAAGAGTAGGTGGTGGCCAAACAAAAACATGGCCTCATCAATCCATGAAATCCTTGACAGTTAAACTGAGTCAGGTAAGGAGATGCAGACTTCCGGGTTGGGGCCCTCGGGACTGACTCTAGGATTCAATGGCTGGAATGGATTAAGTGTTAAAAGGTTTGAAAAAGTGAAAAGCTAGATAGTGTTTCTTGAAGATGATAGGAAATACCATTAGAAGTGAAATATTAATGTCGGTTGGTAGGAAGACATGCTACAGGATCCAGTGAATATGCACACATGATAGACACTTAGTCTAGAAAATATTACTGACAAATAATTTAGACAAACAAAAACTGCAAATTGAGTGAAAAAATATGCACTCCTTCACTTCAATTAGTACCTCACCATCGGCTGTCTGGCTCTACACTAATATATAGTTGTTGTTTTTTTATATCTAAAAGTGTTTACCAGTCAAGTGGTTATTTTATTTAATCAGTTTTACGTATAGGGGCGGCGTGAAATTAAGAGGTTAAGGGTCATCGAAACATCAGTTAACTAATAGACCTTAGTAGTAAAATATCTAAGTTTTGAAAGAGGGATGAAAGTTTGTTATTATTCGTCACCAACTAAGTAGAAACGGATATCCCACTACATTTTTAAGGAAACACGTGAACTCAGCAAGTAAAAACTCGAAGGTGCCGACCATCTCCAAAAAGTCAGTCTCCCTGAGATTACAATTCACAGGGGATGTCAATGGTGAGATCTTATGCCAATCTCTGAGAAGGGCCTTCCAAAAGGACTTTCGATGCAGTTAAGCTACGCTGTGTATTTATTTGCCGACCAATAAATAAAGACAAAATACCCTGTTTCACCTCTACCATGTGTATTTACCAGCTACTTTTGGCGTACCATCAGGCAAGCTCATCATCGAATTTCAAACACCCCTCGCATCTTCGTTTGGCAAAGGTCCGAAAAGAGGCTATGCGCAGCTCAATAATACTAGCTCATCTGGTCGATACTGCCTGCCTGTCTGGATTCAACATAGAACTTCGCACCGAAGTGCACCAGTTCGAGTTTCCACGTTCCAAATAGCACACAGAGGTAGACAAGAAGAGAGTGAAGAGAATCAATACAGTCTGACAAGTATAAGAGTGAAACAGAATGGGTAATGGTAGAAAGGAATATGAAAGATTACGGAGACTGAATACATCTGCGCCGGCCATTGACAACGATTTTGAGCCATGTCACCTATTGTCTCCAGCCATTGATTCCTAGAGTCCCGAGGGCCCCAACCCGGAAGTCTGCATCTCCTTACCTGACTCAGTTTAACTGTCAAGGAATTCATGGATTGATGAGGCCATGTTTTTGTTTGGCCACCACCTACTCTTTTCCAACCTGCACCTATATCAGCTAGTACTGACTGGACATCAAATCGACTTTGACAAAGCTTGTAAAATTATGTATTGTAGATGTGAGACAGCATAACTGAATTCCTAAAATAATTTCCTCAATGGGTAGCTTCGTCCTCTGAGTATGTGTTCAGGATCTGCAGTTAATTCTCTTTCAACTGCTTCTAAGGCTGCCATATTGATTGGTTGGTATATTAGTATAACGACTAGTTATATCAAAATTAACCATTGTTTCGTTATTCTCTAGTTGAATTTCATTTAGTTTATTTTTCATCTCTTATGAATTAGTTAGTTATTTGGCCGATAATTTGAACGATTTCTAACGGGACATAATATTCTTAGAGCTAAGTGGTTTGATGATTCATAACTAGGGGTGTTCGTAAAATCTACTATTGGTCTTAAGGGGTAACCTGGCCTATGTATTTCCATAGTACTATATATTCTACTGACATTAGTCTTAGGCATTAAATTAAACTATTTAGTTTTCTATAGTTTGGTTTGTAAGGATTAGTTTTGTTTTTCCAAGTTGATCACGGATTGATATCAGTTAGAGAACCATTGAAAACCAGTACTTGAGTACTACCGGACGGCTGTTTCATCCTAGTTTGGGAATCATCGGCAGTACACACCCCACCACCAGCGTTCCAATCCACGATCTTCCGGTTAGAAGGCAAGCTAACTCGTACGCCATTCAGCCACTGGGACCCAACCCAACCCAACCCAACGCATGAATTCTAAATTCTACCAATTCGTGATCAACTCGTGTAAACAGAAATAACCCTTATAAACCAACTATAGAAAATTAATCTGATGCTCGCTAGTGATTTGCTCCAGAATTGAGTTTCCTGGAGTTCTAGTGAGAAGTCGTGACCAGTGAGGTTCATCCAGATGTTACGTGTGAGGATGGATGCCCCACCGACGACACTGATTGGTGGCAGTCGCGCTTAATCACGAACTGGTAGAAGTAAGAATTCACGGGCTGGCCAGTGGCTGAGTGGTATACGAGCTTGCCTTGTAACTGGAGGGTCCTGGGTTTGAGCCCCAGTGGCGGGTGCGTACTGCCGATGCTTCTCAAACTAGGATGAAACAGCTGGCTGTTCATCAGTACTCCAAAACTTGTTTTCAATGGTCGGTTCTCTATATGGTATCAATCTGTGATCAACTCATGAAACAAAACTAACCCTCACAAACTAACTATAGAGAATATCAATTTGGCCAGTAAATACTACTGGTTGACGTCAGGGACCCCCCAACTACTACTCATATCAAGTTAGTAGTATATACCACCATGCATATCCATTGAAAATAAGGAAGTTAAACAAAGAAATATTAGCATATATAAACACACATACAACTTACTTCTATTGTTCGTTTAAATGAACCGCATAAGCCAACTTTATTCATTGGACATTTCGGACAATTCGGTTGTTTTGGTGTACAACAAACAGCGCCTAATTCCATTAGGCTTGATTAAAATCTCCTGGTCTGTTAGGATCAACTAACTGGTTAGCTAAATTCCATAGATATTCCACTGTTGTAGGCAATTGGACAGGTGAACCAATTTCACGTAGACGAGTTAACACACGAATTACATTGCCGTCTAAAGCAGCAGTACACTACAATAATAATAATCATAATGATATTATACTTAAAAAAATTTATTTTTTTTAATGACAACCAGTGGTAATAATATTAAGTTACATCATGAGGTGATATCGGTTAGAGAACTCCTGAAAACCAAGGAGGGTTGGACAGTTTCGTCCTAGTGTGGAACTCATCAACATTGAACATCCATGACACCACAGGGACTAAAACCCAAATGAGTATATCACCATTCAGCTACTGGATTGACAGTCAATAATTCACGAATTCTACGTTCTATGAATTCACGAAGGATGACGTTACTACCAGCCAGCGTGTCGTAGGCGAGTATCTATCATCACACTCAATTTGATGAATACTACCAGTCATATATTCTCACTAGAACTGCAAAAACTTCATTCCATAGGAAGTCACTTTTAGGTAGCATAGATTTGCAGGAATTTCAAGTTAGATTATGAAATGACAAACTAAGGAGATTTGAACAGTGTTGTTTTGTCCTAGTTGAAGACTCTTCATCAGTAGGCATATTCGGGTTTATGTTTCACTAGACTGACTGGATTTAACGTAAGACTCTGAACCGATGTGCTGCAGTTCGAGTCGCTACACTCCCTCCTTGTCGCACACAAAGCAAGAGAAGAGAGTATAAAGAAATGCAAAATAGAGACAGTAAACAGGGGGTATCATAAGTCACAAGGAGTGAATGCATCTGTGCCAGCCAGCTATTGAGAACGAATTTGAGCCAGCCATATCACTAATTGTCTACAGCCTTCACTGGTTTTTATCGTCTCGACGACCCCAACAAGCTATTCAGGAAGTCTACACCTTCCTACATGACTGGCTGGATTAAACTAACTGTTGTGGATTTCATTGACCGATGAAGCCATGTTTTGTTTTCTAACCTGAAGCTATGTCAGTTAACATTGCCAGTCAAGGGAGGCAAGCGATAGCTAAGCATACGTGACACATGTCCTAACCATCGCCTAAATCGATGTGACTTCACAGACTCGTCTACTGATTTTCCCCTCCTTACACCTAGCACTCAACCGATTCCTAACCTCAATATTGCTCACCGTATTATACCATTTCACACACTTCACCAGCGGTGGTGCTTCCTTTAGTAGAGTGGGGGGGAGACTGTTAATCTAACATCCAGCCTTCCCTCCTTTTTGGGTTTACTATTGGCTATAGTAGATTTAGCAGAATGTTTTGGCAAGGAAATGGACCCCGACATCATGCGAGGTTGAAGAATATTCTATCCATGAACTACTGACTCATAAGTCATAGATAAAAGGTGATAATTAACACAATTTTTTGTTTTTTATGTTCCCAGTAGATCATAGGGGATTCAAGCTAGACCTATGAGGTTTGGGTAGCACTGGTGTTTATTTTCACGGGGATAAAGTTGCTAGCCGCAGATCCAGTCAGTCTTATTACTGGCTTAGAGAGGTAGAGGAGTGCGACCTTGACGGCGAACTGAACCACGTACCCCATGAAGCGCGATTGCCGAGTACCTTACCGCTGTGCCAACGACGCACAAACACCATATTAATAATTAAATACCCTGAATTCTTTATTGAGCATAGTTTTTATCAAGAAAAGTTCCAAAGTATCACAACTTTCAGTATATTGAGCAGGGTCATTTTATAAGGGATAATGATGCCATCAACTAGAGTTTTTTTCAATCCTGAGAAGTCACACCATGCCCTATTATTACAAATAACGCTTACCTAATCATTTGAGTCGTTTCTACCAACTAGACCAATAACGACACTAGACACCCAGATCACCTTCGATAGATGGAGTAAGATTTCAAACCGATGATTTACTGCACTGCATGTATATCATAACTTCAGATAAAAGTGCAACAGTTCGCTACAGATACTTACTGGAGAACTAAGTTCCAACGTAGTGCTTTGCACAGAAGTACAGCAAATCAACTTACCATACTCCATGTACCATACAAAGGAGAGAAAAACGAGATTCGAAACAACGATAATAATAATCAGAAGTGTGTCGGAGAATGAATCGTAAGATGGAAAAACAAAATGCGGATTCAACAGATGTGAGAGATCCCAAAGACTGAGTGAATGGATCTACACCACTGAGAACTATTTTGAACTCTTCCATCGACAGTTTCTACCCAGTGGCTCTTAGTATCCTGAGGATATTAATCAAACAGCCTACATCATCTTACACGGCTCAAACTATCTCATGAAGTCAGCCAGGTGAAAGCTGACGGCGAATTGTCATCTGAAGTGGTAACAACTAGTGGTGTCTGTCACGGATGTCCACTATCCCCCACCCCATTTCTATTCAATTTCATCATAAATGTACTAATGGAATTAACCTTAACTGCTGGCTTCAGCGCCTCAGGGATTGACTTGTTGCCACAAGGGAATAATAGTCTCGGTGACTTAGAGTATGCAGATGAAACAGTCTTTCTAGGTGATGACGCTGACAAAATATAGCAGAGTCTTTTGAACACCATGAGCTGCAATCTGCGAATGTTTGGTGTGCGATTTGCTTCCGTCAGATGTAAGATGATGATACAGGACTGGACTGCATTGACTCCTAGCTTAGCAATAGGGAGTGAAATGGTTGTTGGAGTGTGTTGACCACTTATTTGGAAAGGCACCAGCCAACGCCAGTAGGTTGATCGCTGACAAAATCCCAGAACAGATACAGAAGGCTTGTTCTGCATATGTCAGTTTACGCCGTCTTCGGAGCAGACATGAGATCCGGCTGGCTGTCGACCAAATGGCGGGTGTACTGCTTAGCAGTCCACTTCGTCCTCCTTTATGGCTGTGGGACTTAGCCATTGAAAGCGGAAGACATGAAAAGGCTAGCTGTCTTCGATCAGACGTGACTGCGTTCCATCCCCCATGTTAACTAGCATAATCGTGTGGATAATATTGAGGTTAAGTATCGGTCGAGTGCTAGGTAAAGAGAGGAAATCAATAGACGATGTCGTGAAGTTACGTCGATTGAGGCGATGGTTGGGAGATGTGTTACGCATATATGCATAATCATCTCCTTCCTCGACAATGGCCAATGTTAGCCGACATGGATCGGCCTGGAAAAGAGACAGCCATTACTGGTTAAACCAAAACCTGTCTTCATCAGTCAATGAAATCCACAACAGTCGGTTTAGGGCAGCCAGCCACGTAGGAAGGTGTAGACTGGTTGGGGTCCTCGAGACGATAAGAAACAATGAAGGTTGGAGGAAATTGGTGATATGGCTCAAAATCGTTCTCGGTGATAGCTGGCGCAAATGCATCCACTCCTTGTGACTTATAATACCCAACAAAACCATTTTGTTCTTCGTTATTACTGTTCTTTTTGCCTCATGTCTGTCTTTATTGTCTCCATTTTGCATTTCTTTTCTTGCTTTGCTTGCTACAAAGAGGGAGTGTGGCGACTCGAACTGCTGCACATGGATGTAAAGTTGTTCTATGTTGAAACGAGTCAGTCAAACCAACTGTCAAAGTCCTCATGGATGGATATCAGATTTTAGCTTGATCACCTCTAAGCCGTATGCAACTCAATCTCATGCCAGGTGGTAGCCTTGTTTGTCGACGAAGGCAATGGCCCAGCATACACAACATGTGTCCTTTCACAAACTCATCAATCGTCTTCCCTTCCTTATCTAGCAGTTATAAGCCTCACTTTATTACTGCTCACCATTTAACACGGGGGACAGAACGCAAACATCCGTGGTCAGAGAAAACTAGCCTTTTCATAGCTACTACTCTCACAATGACATCTCACAACCATAAGGAAGGGAAGAGCTAATTACTACGCAATGCATACATACACACCCTTTGACCGATAGCCAGATATCACGTCGACGCTAGAGATGATATATGTTGACAAATGCCACACACACACACTAGGCCTTTTGCATCATCAATCATGCTGAGATTTGGTTTACAACCATCATTCCATGAAAGCTGATACGAATGTATCTAAGGTTGGGTGAGGGAAGGGTGTCAGACAAAACTTTGCAGAACTAACTATCTAACAAAAAACAATAAATTCTTATTAATTAATTATGTATAAACATCCGACCGGAACAGACTGGATTCAGGAGAAACAAGTCGTGTACTGATCAAATCGCCACACTACGGATCATCATTGAGCAAAGTTCGGGAATGGCAGTCACCTCTCTATATCAACTTCATAGACTTTGAAGAGACCTTCAGAAGATAGCGTCGATCGAGAGGTGATTTGGCAACTACTTTCCTACTACCACGGGGTGCCGCCGACTATTATACATCTCATCCAACAGTTGTACGACAATGCTGCATGCCAAGTAATCCACAACGGGAAACTTACGGAATCCTTCGAAGGCCGCCTCCTGTCGCCAATGATTTTCCTGATTGCAGTAGATTGAATAATGCGACAGACAACGAGCAATGGGGAAACAGGCAGAAAATGGACTCACACAAAAAACTTGCAGTATCTGGACTTCGCCGATGACGTATATATGTTTGATTTCCCACAAACTGGAATATATGCAAGTGAAAAGCAACAAATTGGCAGAAGAAGCATCCAGAGAAGACAGGCCTTCAGGTGAACACAGAGATAACAGGGGCATGTGATGAAGATTCCTGGCCAACAGTAACAATCAGCATAAATGGGAGGAACCTGAAAGAAACAACCTCCTTGACCTACCCACCGACCTGGTAAGCATCGTTTCAAATACATGCGGAACTGACGACGATATTAAAGCAAGAATCAGAAAAGCGAGACAAGTTTTCATTACTCTCAAGTCTGTGTGGAGGTCAACATCGCTCAGCATCAAAAAGAAGATCCGGATTTTCAACTCCCAAGTGGAGTCAGTGCTACTATGCGGATCAGAGACTTGGCGTGTCATAAAGAGCACCTCAAACTAACTACAGACCTTCATCAACAGCTAGTTGTCTTCGCTCAATACTCAAGATCAGATGGCCGGCCAGAAAAGATTAGCAACAGGGATCTCTGGGAGCGAATCAACCCAGCAGGAGCCGATTGTGCAACAAACAGGCAGGAAAAAATGGAGGTGGATTGGCCATACGCTGAGGAAACCATCATGTAACATCACTAAACAAACCATTGTTCGAGTGGAACCCAAAAAGGGAGCGGCAAGTCGGTAGTCGTCCAAGGGTGACTTGGAGGAGGTCATATAAAGAGGAGATGAAAACATGTGGGCAAACTTGGACCCAGGTGAAAACTCTAGCAGAGAACCGAACTCAATGGAGACGCGCGGCGAAACCCTATGTTCCTCTAGGAATTAAAGGAAATAATAATAAATAATGAACATGTAAAAAATATATACACATACATACATCCATACCTGATTGAATGCAATGCTTGATATAGCGCCAGCTGTGTATCTTCCAACACCAGGTAGTGTAGACTTCAATGCTTCTGCTGTCTGCGGTAGATTTCCATTACATTCATTAACAATCTACACATATATTTGTGTGTGTGTGATAAATTGATTTAAAAGTTATCGAACCTTTTTTGCACCTTCATGTAATAGACGAGCTCTAGAATAATAACCTAGACCAGACCAAATAGAATTAACATCCTGTGTTCATCATCTAAAATCAGCTAAATATTATTACTCAAACATACATCTAAGGCGGCGGATGCCAATTCCTCGACATTAGGCCATTTCTAAAAAGTAACGAAACAAGAATAGGTTGGTGTACAAAACAAACCTGCATCCATCGATTATAATAGTCGATAACAGTTTTCACTTGTGTCTGCTGCAGCATAACTTCGGATACCCAAACTAAAAATAAAAAAATATACATGACAATAGAAATAAGAAGAAGAATAAAGCTAAAATATTCATTTAGACATCTATAAAACACAAAATAATTAAGCCAACAAAGAATATCCTTTTCGATAATTTTCACCTCTTCTGGCTCCACAATTATATACATATATGTGTTTACATACATCGAATATTTTAGATTAAGAACACAATATTCACAATATCCACCGGAAACGTCCATGGAACGGACAACTAACTAATTTTTACAGTTGGGTGCCTATTTCCAGGAAAAGGAATTTAATCCATTCACTCTGCTTTAGGATAAGGAAAATTTGTAGTTCTGATTGCGTTGACTCAGAACTTGATTTCTTGAAAGCCACACTCACAGAAAACGGTTACCCTAACCGATTTATTGACAGCAACATGAAAGATAAACAGTCTAAACTGGTCACCGACTCAGTTCCAAAGAAAACCTTATTCATGAACTTGGAATTCAAAGGTGATCAAGATTCAGATATGCTCAAAAATCAGTTAGTAAGACGTTCCCTACAGCTAGATTACATATGACGTTCACGAGCCGCAAATTGTTCTCTACCTCTGTAAAAGATAAGCTCCCCCGTCTGACCGCCTCCATGTGCATCTAACAGTTCACCTGCTTTTGTGGAGCAAGGTACATTGGCCATAGTCAGACAACGCTCTCCACACGGATACGAGAACATATTCCAGCTTGGTTTTACAAGGGAGAAAGGAAGTGTGTGCGAAGCTCTATTCTGGAACATCTGATCGACTTCTGTCACTCGGTCAACCCTGACAATGATTTCAAGATCATATATGAAATTCATGCTAACTTCCCGCGTTTTCTTCGCTACAGACTTCTAAAGACAGCTGAGGCCTTGGCAATTCATGACTTTAAGCCAGACCTTTGTGTGCAAAAGAAGTATGTACAATCCCTACTTCTGGCTTGGCTGCAGAGGGATAGACATTTATTTATTTTGTTTATTTAGTTATTCTATATGCTTTTCCCTTATTACTTCGATTATTTTTATTATTATTATTACTATTCTCACTCTGAATTGTTTCCACTTGACCCACTTGACATTTTAAACCCAAAATTATTCATTTGTATAATTTTTATTTTTACAATACCCACGAGACTAGCTGTCTTTCCCGTGTGAAGTGGTATAATAAGGTGAGCAACATTGAGGTTAGGCGTCGAGTTCTAGGTAAACAGGGGAAATCAATCGACGAAGTCGTGAAGTTACATCGACTGAGATGGTTAGCACATGTGCTACGTATGCCTAGTTATCGCCTCCCTCGACGAGCATTATTAGCGGATGTAGGGTCAGGCTGGAAAAAAGCTAGCGGCGGTCAAACAAAAACTTGGCACCAGTCAATGAAATCCACAAAAGTTGGTCTAAGCCACGTAGGAAGGTGGAGACTTCCAGGTTGGGTTCCTCGGGACGGTAAAAACCAATGGTTGGAAACAATTGGTGACATGGCTCAAAATCGTTCTCAGTGGCTATCGCAGATGCATCCACTCCTTGTGACTTATGATTTCCTATGAAACTGTTTTGTTTTTCGTCAATACTCCTCCTTTGTCTCACCCCTCTGCTCACTGTTTCTATTATGCTTTTCTTGTACTTTCTTCTCTTGCTTCGCGTGCTACACGGAGTGCGGCGACTTGAACTTCCGCACATTTGTGCAAAGTTCTATGTCGAAAACAGACAGACAGACAGACCCTACTTCTACTTAGTCACTACCTGTAATTATATCTGTTGCTACCCCGACCTAAGTTGAGACATTTTAGTCAATTATATTACGTCATCTAACTCACTAACTAACTCAATCTTACTTTAGTTGACGTCTAATTAACCTTGTTTCTATATTAATTCCTTATATTACCTGATTAATTCTCTAAACTTGACAAACCTCATGTACACACACACACGAAATAATTATATATAAATGCAATTGAACAGCTATGTGGATGAATTCGCCGGCGAAAACAGTCTCTTCGCTGAACGTCTTCTCTTTTTCAGATAAATCTCAACTTCGCCTCAAGAGTTCGACTACTGAATATTGCTGAGACTGGCTGTCGCGATCCACATTACGAATCCTAATTTATGTTTCCAAAAGAAGTTAGTACAGACATTATCCTTTCCCCGCTGGCCATCAAGGTTCTAATGATCCTCAATTTTTTGCAGAAATTTCCTTAACTTTAGTTGATATTCTATTTGCTATTATTTTAACATTATTATAATTTAAGTATCTAAAATAAACTGTATTTGCATGGTGACCTTACTAAGCAAATTGATATTATTTAAAAAACACATATTGCTTCATACATTTATTCCCCTTGCCACACATGGCCTTCCGAAGATACACAATAAACAAGTCCCCCTGAGACCTATACTTTCGATGATCAACTCGCCCCAACATAAGGTTGCACGTTGGCTGACGGAGAAGTTGGAACCTATTCGTCAACGGCTAGCCGTGCACACAATGAAAGACTCATTTCATTTCGCCGGATGTGTGAACCAAATGAACGTTTTTAATAAATTCATGGTGTCATTCGATGCCACCTCCTTGTTCACACAATGATTCCAATCAACGAAACTTTTGAGATCATTTGTCAGCAGTTTGATTTTCTCCCACTTACAGAGTCGGAATTCAGATGCCTACTGCTTATGTGTACCATGGATGTTCAATTCCAATTTGACAACACTCTTTACCGCCAAATAGATGATGTATCAGCTATGGGTAGTCCACTTAGCCCTGTTTTAGCAGATATATATTCACGTCCAACCTTGAAACAACAAACTTGAAGTATGCAATCGACGAAACAACGTCCTACTGTCGATATATTGATGACACATTTATAGTGTGCAACAATGAAAATCATGCTTCACACTTACCCAGATTATTCAATGATGCACACACCAATAGTGAGTTTACCTATGTAACATGAAAGTGATGAAAAGTTTCACTTCCTCGACATTGTCATGCAACGCCTAGAAGACGATAGTCTTCAGAAGTCAATTTATCCAAAGCCTACTAATATTGTTATTGGCTACTATTCTGGAATACTCTGTGTTTATAAACATATACACATATAAAAATACAGCCAGAAAAGGAGGAAATTATTGAAAAGGATATTCTTGGCTCAATAGTAATAATAATAACAAGAAGGAGAAGAACTGAACATACCAGCATAACCACGAATATTTGGATCTGGATCTAATGCCTATTAGGATCAGATTTTAAGGCTAAAGACACACACACACACGTACCATTTGACGCCATGGTAGATCACGTTTACACTTATCATACCACAGGAGTAAAGCTTCTCGCGCTCTCTTAATTTCACTGGACGTGAATGAATGTATTGAACTGTAGAGAATGCGATGAATAATTCGATTTTTTAAATATTGAAACATACCACATAATTGAAATGGACTTTGAGAGGGGAGGGCAGAAGTTGATTATGATGATGACTTAAAACAGCAAGCTAGTGGAGGAAGAAATAAAGAAATGTCGGAAATATGTTAGAACATTGATTATGCTGAAAAAGTTGTGCAAGAGTCATTAGACGGATGATAACACCAAGCAGTCTATTCTTCATTATTATTCCCTTAGGTTCCAGGAGGAAAATAGGGCTTCAATAGAAACATCTTTATTTCAGCCTACTTTTAGCTTCATATTCGCCCACCCAAGGACCCACACCCAACACGTCGCCTCCCATTGAGGTTCCACACTCGAAGGCCTGGTACTTAACATCACACAATAGCTTTCCACACTCTCAGGAGATAGGAGATTTACGTGCGTGTATGCATAAACTTAAAAGACTCAAGAAACAGTCTACTGAAGTGCAGTGAAGTAAAGGGAGTTGTGACGACGGCAGGAAAAACCTTACCACTCAAGGGTTTTTATCTGGTGGAAAAATTCGAAGTTCAACTATTCCTGAATCGTTGTGGGTGGAGCAGTGCGGTAGAACACTATAGTGAACTAACACAGTAGGAAATTGGAACGTTTTCAATCCATCCGCTTAACTGGCTCAAAGAATTTCTTTGTAGGGAAAAAAGCCACAAATTCAAGATCAACTCGAAACACTTCATGATGAAAAACGATACTTTGTACCACAAGGTATTGATTGTACTCGATCCTTTATTATTTATATTATATTAAAACGAATTATTTGGGATCTCCTATGGTTCTCTACAGAGATGACCTGAAAATCTGGAGAATCCTTAAGGATGACAGTGATATGCTTATGCAACAAAGAGAGCTCGACAATCTGATTATTTAAAGTAATGGACTCCCCTCCCAATCAATAAAACGAAGTGTGTAACCATGAGCATCCGGCATGCAACTGCCAGAGCACACGATTTAGGAAGAATAATAACTCCATCAATTCAGAAGTAGGGGAAACTAGGTGTTATATAACACCTAGGAGCAGGTCTCCAGGTAAGATTAGTGTGATTTCAGGAAGTTCATCAACACTACTTGAAATTCTTTGTGCTATTCCAATGATATTTAAAACTCCCAAACCATCCATAATGTAACCCTACTTGCCTACCGCGAAAACTTCCAAAAGTGAGTGAATTTCACACGATCTTGTTTAGTTTTGCCTTTTGTTGTGTTATACGCTCCAAAGTCTACAGATTAACTTTAAATCAGTTTATTCTGATCGAAGTTAGTTTTCGTTTTAGTTTCCAGTCTATTAAATTATAGGAACTTGTGTTCTGTTAACTTAACAGTTATACATAACTATATATATAACTGTATATATAACTATTAAGTTATCAGAACACAAGTTCCTATAATTTAATAGACTGGAAACTAAAACGAAAACTAACTTCGATCAGAATAAACTGATTTAAAGTTAATCTGTAGACTTTTGGAGCGTATAACACGCAATTTACAAAATTCGCGCGGTGGCCGAACTCCTTACATTATCCAAATCCACTGTCCAATATCCAATATCCTGATTACGAGCTAGTACAAACCAGTGATTTCTTTGAGCTCGCTTCTTGATTGTGAGGTAGAGGTTCTAGATCTTCGGTGAGCTTCTGCGTAGTAAGTCCCGCCACTCGACTGCTTTAGCTCTGGTAGACTCCAAGAGGAGTGGTGCGGGGATTGGTCGAGATGTGGTTTGTAGTATGCAGTATGTTAGGACTGTATTGCTGCCGTGAATGGAGTTTGACCTAACTCCCGTTGGTCATTCGGTGTAGTCATAAAAGCAGAGTAGTAATAATAATAATAATAATAAAAATAATAGGTTGTAGTGTAGATAATATAGGTTGAGATAAGTGGAATAATAAAGGTGACCTAAGGAAAAGATAGAGTGAGAGAAGGCAGAATAGGTCGTGGGGATTTAGTTTGTACGCTTATCCATTGACAGTGTGGTTTCAAGTTTTATGAGGATAAGCCATTGAGACACAAACCTTGCATTTCTGCATGATTGTCTAGCTTCCGCTTAAAAATCTCCAGAGATGGCGCTGTAGTCACGGCCGCCGGTAAAGCGTTCCAGAGACGGCAAACACGAAGCGAAAAGAAATGTGATCGCACTCGAGTCTTTGGTCTCTGGTGTGCTATCCTTAGCGGGTTACCTCGTGGAAGCCTATAATCACTTAATGGCAGGATGCTTTTATTTGGGTGGGCCTGGTCATTTAGGATCTGGTAGACGGTGATGAGGTCTCCCCTGTGCCTACGGTAACTAAGTGTGAAAAGACCTAATTTCTTTAGTCGTTCCTCATATGATTTGTTGCGGAGGCCGATCACCCATTTTGTCGCTCGTCTCTGGACACTTTCTAGAATGTTAGCATCCCTTTTGAGTAGCGGAGGTGCAATGATATTATGCACCTCAAGGTGTGGCCTCACATATGCCTTATATAACCTTAAGAACAGTTCGGGAGTGAGAGCTCCCAGCTGCCTATGCATAAAGTGTAAAGTTGCGTAGGCTTTGGCGACGTCCCTCGAGTAATTTCCACTGGTGTCTAGCTTTTCTGTTAGAATAAGACCTAGATCTCGCTCTGATGGAACACAACTCAAGTTCTGGCCACCAAGGGTGTAATTTACACTCTGTGACCTGCCGGAATGAAGTTGCACTACTTTGCACTTCTTTAGATTGAAAGGCATTCCGTTAGCCAGAGCCCGGTTTCCCAGAGTTTGCAGGTCAGCCTGCAATCTGTCTGAGTCTTCCGATGAGTTTATTGCTCTCCAAATCTTTACGTCGTCAGCGTAAAGAAGCGCAGAGCAGTTTAGTTGGGGGGCAGGTCATTGATAAAAATCAAAAACATCAACGGCCCTAGGATAGAACCCTGAGGAACCCCTGATGCCGAGGTGTGCCAGGATGATCGGATGCGGTTGACTTTGGTGCAGAATTCTCTCTCACCTAAGTAATCTATCAGCCATGCGAGAAGTGCTCCAGAAACACCCGCCTTGCTTATTTTGTGAAGAAGCAGACCATGGTGAACTGTGTCGAATGCTTTCGCAAAGTCGAGAAAGATCACGTGGGCTGGTACCTTTTCGTCCCAGGATAGTGTCCAATCGTTCCAGGCTAGTAGAAGATTCGTCACGCAGGATCTTCCCCTCCTGAAACCGTGCTGTGCTTCGTGAAGAAGGTTAGTCCCATCGAAGTATTTTCTCATGTGGTCGTCAATGAGACTTTCCAATATCTTCGATATCACTGGAAGTAGAGCAACTGGTCTGTAACTGGTCGCATTCTGCCGGTCACCACCCTTGAAGATAGGGGATAGGATTCCTCGTTTCCATTCACATGGAAGTTTTCCTACATCAAGGGAGTGTTGGAACAGATCACTTAGGGGTTGGCAGAGACTTTCTGAGCACTGCATTGCAAGTACCATAGCCGGGGTAATTTGAAATGTACCCAGCAGGTTTTCGCGTGTTGGTTTTGCGATGTAATCTGGATGTTCTGTGGGGGTAATATCCTCGTTACTATTTAGTTGCCTGTGAAAGGCTAGGCTGAATGTCTCTGCCATTTCAAGACTAGTAAGAGATTTCCCATCAGAACCCACTAGATTGCATGCTCCCTGGTTGGTCGGTTTTCTTTCGGACATAAACCTGTATAGACTTTTGGGGTTCACGGGTAGTTTATTGGCGACGTTTCCCTGAAATGTCCTTCTATCGCTCCGGACTCGTATGTTACATCGATTCCTGAGTTCAAGGTACACTTCATATTCGGGTTGACTCTTCGATCGTCGCCACGCGAACCAGGCTTTTCGCTTCGCCTACAGAAGGCGTTGTGTCCCCCTTTTTAGCCGTGATCGTTGCTTCCTAGTTTTTGGTGTGACTAAAGGAACAGTGTCTGAGACCGCCTGGTGAATGATTTCCTTTACCACTCTCCAGTGTTCTTCTACTGTTAGCTCTGTCCATTTTTAGGCCAATTTGCTTCAGACAGAAGTCTTCGCATTTTGGTGTAGTTGGCTTTGTTATAACACAGATAGGGCTGTGTATTGTCCCACTGTAAGCGCTCGCGGAGGACTATGTCGAATACTATGACCACGTGGTCACTACTACCTATGGGAGTCGTGATCTGAACGTTTTCCACTAGTAGCTGGTCTCTAGTGAGCACGTAATCCAGTCTAGAAGACTTCCCATCAGGGCCCCATCTAGTATCCATCTTGACATTTTCAGTGAATCCAGCCTTCCTGATGGTATGCAGCAGATTTCGATCAAATCTATCATGGGCTTTTCCCGACACCAAGTTAAGAGATGGGGCATTGAAGTCACCAGCTATGACAATTTGATCATAACCCATGTCTTGAGTTTCTGAGATTGTATTTAGCAGTACCTGGTTGTGGTCTGCTCCACATGAAGGTGATCGATAGATGCTGCCCACTAGATATTTGCAGTACCCAACGGTGAAGTGGCACCATATGGAGTCAGGGATCTCTATGAGGGGAGGGTCCATCGCGTGACCACATCTGAGCTGTTTGTCGACGTATATGGCGACTCCACCTCCTTCTTTCAGGTCCCTATCTCGCCTGACTAGGACCATATCATTTATAGTGACTTCGCTGTCTGCCACCGTAGGGGTTAGCCAGGTTTCCGTCAGTATTATGATTTTGGAGTTTAGTTGTGATTGTAGGTGTCTAAGTTCAGCTATTTTGCGTCTTAGCCCTCTCACATTACTGTACAGGCAACTGGTAGTCAGTCTCACCACTTTCCCGCATTGGGGGGTAGTTGACTTGATATTGGCTATGCCAACCATCTCCATTGTTGTACATCATGACAATGCTTTTCGCAGGCGTTCCCAGTTACCAGTTCGGGAATGCCATGCACAACCATGGAGGCAGAAGGAATGAGCTCTGGCGACTCCCTCGCCATTTGTCTTTCCTTCCACGGCCTGTCTGGCTTAACGCGTATGTTACAGGCCCTCCCTATAGAAAGGACTTGAGAAGCCAGTAACACTTTTTCAACAT